AGTGAGAATGAAAATTTATTTTTCGTAAGAGAAAATATTCCTATTTTTCAAATGAGATTGCACTACAGTGCGAGGGCCCACTTACTAAGGAGGAAGTTTTTGCTGTGCTTAAAAAAGTCCCTCAGAATAAGACTCCAGGTAGCGATGGTCTACCCCCTGAGTTTTATTTATTTTTTTAGGAATATATTGGAAATGCACTAGTTGCTTCACTCAATCATGGTTACGGGGAAGGCATGATGTCAAACAGGCAGTCATTACATTATTGCCAAAGCCAGATAAAGGCCAACTCCATCTAGAAAATTGGAGACCCGTTTCTTTATTAAATAGTGATTATAAGCTAGCAAGTAGGTGCATTGCAAAACGTCTTGAGAATATTTTGTCTAAGATTATCCATGAAGATCAATCAGCTTTTATTTCGAGGAGGACAATTATGGATAATATAAGGCTTATTTCTGATGTTATCGATTATTGTGAGGAGTATACGCACCCAGGGGCAGTCATGTTTGTAGACTTCTCGAAAGCTTATGATACTTTGGAATGGAACTTTATAAATAAGGCACTGAAATTGTTTAATTTTGGTGATTCATTTATACGTTGGGTAAATGTATTTTATAATGATATTAAGAGTTGTGTTGTAAACAATGGGTTTTCCACAGGTTGGTTTGGACTATCACGGGGTATAAGACAGGGCTGTCCTTTATCGACTGCACTATTTGTAATTGCTATCGAACTCCTTGCCATTTCTATACGTGCCAGTAATGATATTGAAGGAGTACATTTGCCTTATGACAATGGAATTCGAATTTTAGGGTATGCAGATGATACCACGCTCTTTTGGAGGGATCAGGTGTCAGTTAAGCACATTCTTATTTTGTTAAAGTACTTTCATTCCGGACTTAGAATTAACTTGCAAAAAACACAGCTTTTATTAGTAGGTACTATGAAAAGGCAATGACGGGAAATAGATGATATTTCTCCCACTGATGGGTCAATTAGATATTTAGGCATTTATCTGGGCCACAATAAAAGGTGTAATAAGAAATAAAATTTTGATGATAACTAAAATTTCAAATATTCTGGAAATCACGTGATTTAACTCTCAAGGGAAAGGTTATTTTAGTTAAGGTATTTGGTGCATCAAATCTGGTGTATTCTATGACTGCGATTTCAACCCCGAGTAATGTTATTAATGAGGCTAGGTCCTTGCTATTCAATTTCTTGTGGAGGGGTAAAAAACATCATATAAAGCGTAATACCCTAATTGGTAATTATGATCAAGGAGGCCTTCGTATGGTGGATATTGAAATTTTGAACAAAGCAATAAAGCTTTCCTGGGCTGTTAAAATTACAGATACAGAATCAACTATAGCTGTATTCAGTCATTATTATTTTAGAAATTATGGGATTTGCAATTTTTACTCCAGTGAAATTATGATTGGGGCCAAATAAATGATAGAATACCTCTCTTTTACATGGATATTATAAGATATTGGAGTGACATAAATAAACAGAAGGAACCAAGTTGTGTACAGGAAATTATAACGCAAACAATTTGGAATAATTAATATATTTTGATAAATGGGAGCTCTGTATATTATAGTAAATGGCACATCAGTGGGGTGAAGATACATCTGTAATTTGTTAGATAATAACGGTAAATTTCTTACTTGCCATCAGTTTACTGGAAAAATATAATATTGCGGTGAATTTTATAACATATACAGGTATTATTTCGGCAATTCCATCAAAATGGAAAAATCTTTTGAAATCTAATGACCATGTTCAAGTATTATCTTCGGAGTACTGGAAAACAAATCTCTTTTAAATTTGTTGTTACTAATTGGTAAATATGTCTTGTATTGTAGCAGGTTTACTGGTTATAGCCCAACAATAGCCTATTTTATAAGTAAAATCAGAAACCAAATTAACATTGAAAATATGTTTTAACTGAAAAAAAGTTTGAAACGAAATGGAGCAAAGTACTGCAAGTGATTGAAGGATATTTGTAAGTTAATTTTATAAGTTGACTTACCATGTAGTCATTGTAAATTAATGACATTCAACATTTTATAAAAGAAAAGAAATGAACCCCTCCCACATACATTTATAACAACAACAGCGCCCCCAACCATTTTTTTCCACTTTCCCCCTTCTCTTTTCTAATATTGCTTCATTTTATGTTGTTAATTATTTTTTTGACATGTAAGATTATTTTGAAGTAATGTACTTTTTTGGGGAAATATAAAAATATATGAATAAAAAAAATTATAAAAGGAAAAAAAAAATGTACGCTAAGAGTTCTCGTTGAACAGCAATGATGAAAAACAAAATAGTAACGGCCCTAAATTTTCCTCGTCATTCTGAATGTTTGCAACTTAGGGGAAATTAATCTGCATAAAGGTTGTTTTCCCCCGCTCAGTAAGATATCTTATATCGCACCTATTAGCATAAGTTTCTGTACTGCAAATAATTCACAACGAAGGACAAAATGCTGCAAGGTCAACAGTGTTATTTTTCCAGCTCGTTTTTCCATCTGTGTGTAGGATCTAGCCTTAAGTTCACTTGATTTACATTTCATATTTTCCCACCACTTAGCTTCGCCGTGGTTCAAAATTGTTGCCGAGGGCAATCGTAAATGTGAAAGTCATTCTGGTTAGA